TCGGGTAGACCTAACTTTTAAACAATTAAAATTAAAATAAATTAAAATTAAAATCTTTCTGTATTTTTCTTGAACAAAATCTAATATTAATTAACTATTTAGTTAAAAAACTTTATTACTAATTAACTATTTAGTTAGAAAACTTGTTAAATGTTAATTTCCATTTCATAATTCAATTTTTTTTCAATCTCAAGAAAAGAAAAGGAAAAGATTAGTGATTATATAGATGGAACTAAAATATATGTCAAATATATAATACTTATACAATATTTAAAATTCATAATTTCATAAAGATATTAGCTTTCGTTAAAAGAAGAGACATGAAGGATTAGAATTCAAAAGACAAATTCAATATATATATGTTAATATTTAGTGCTTATTCAATATTTATAAGAGTATTACACAAAAAATACAACTCTATTCAATATTTAGGATGGCATTATACAAAAAAAATATAACCTTATTTAATATTAAAGTTTAAAAAGCAAATCCAAAATATGTATGACCAAATACAAGAAGAAATTAGATCAGAATTGATTTTTATTAATTAGGAACAAATTACAAATTGAGAGCAAATTAGCTATTAAGAACGGACTTTGATATTCTTAATGTTCTTATCTTTGTACTTCTAATGGTTATGAGTGTACTTTAACCATTGGATTTTGATTTTTATTAGGCATTCTTATTTTTTATTTTTAAAAAACTATCTTTTTTACAATTTCATGTAACATAACTCATTATGTGCCACATAATTTAATTTTTTATGCGAGTGCCACCAACAAGAATGATTAAAGAGCTTGAGATAAAGAAGGAGAGAGCAAGAGTGGAGAAGAGGAAAAGTTGAGAGAAAGTGAAATTGATGAGAGATTGTGAAATTGATGAGATTAGAGTTTGAGTATTTTATTTATTTCTACTTTTAGGATTAGGAAATTAGAAATTTAAAATTGATTTTTAAGTAATCTAATAAAAAATGAATAAAAAAAAGTTTGAGTCATTTCAGATGACCCGACCCACCCGTGACCCAACCCATTTGGGTTCAAATAATTTCAGTCTAATTTATTTCGGATTTCGGATTAATACATAAGACCCATAACCTTACCCATAACGGATGGGTTGGGTCGAATTTTCGGATTGGGTCCAATTTTGCCAGGTCTACCGAGGAGGCAAAGAAAGAGAAAAAGAAGGATGAATGAAGAAGATTCGAGAAAGAGGATGCTGGAAGAAGAAGATGAGAACAAAATTGTAATTTTGGTAGGTTCCACTTTTTTTTTTTTGTGTTGGCAAAGAATATGACATGTCATGTTGCCATGATGACATGTCATGTTGCCATGTCATCATTTTTATCTGACATGTCTCAAAATTTTAACGTGTCTCAAAATTTTGACGTGTCATTAATTCCTTGTGAGTTAACTGTGAGTTAATGGTGGATTTTTAATTCAAGGACCAAGTTGGGGTCAAATTAGTAAACAGTTGAGACCAAATTAAGGATTTTATAAGTTTAGGGACCAAATTAGAGGGTCTGTACAATAGTTCAGGAACAAAAATGAGTTTTTAACATATACTTTAAAATCTTGAATTTTTACATACACTAACCTCGAACCTTTAATAGTAAAATTGTAATTTCTCTACTTTTCTTTACTTTTTTTTTTAATTTTGTGTTATACACTCTTATTTTACTCACTCACTTGTTTGGCGATAATTAAAATTTAATACCTCTAATTTTTACAAAAACAATATTGTCATTAACGGATCTAATAGTTGACATAGTTAATTTTCTTATCAATGATAAATTTAGGATAAAACTACTTAATTATAATAAAAAATTTTAAATTCTAAAAGATT